GCAGCGGCGTCCACAGGCCCAGGTTGGCCATGTTGTTTGCGTTGTCGAGCGACTCGATCAGCTGCTCAAAGTTGTCCCACGCAATGAGCTTGTTCTCCAGGTTGACCTCGCCGTCGGGCGCGGTGATGAGCTCCATGGCCGCCTTCATGAGGTCTGCGTCCGAGGGCCCGCCCATGAGGGCCGCCATCATGTCCGGCGTCAGCTGCGACCGCGAGGGCTGCGAGGCGGCGGTTTCGGCGGCCACGGGGTCGTTGAGCGTCACGTCTGAGTGCTCGACGGACCAGCGGAGGAGCTCGGTTAGACGGGGGTCTTGGGCCATATTTGTGAATTTGCTTTGGGTTTATTATTTTGTATCTTGGCGGATGGGTTGTTTCAGAGTATGCGAAAGATTACGTTTGTGCAAGTTTAGACGTCGGCTTTTTTTGGGGTGGTTAAGCTTGGGTTTTTTTTTCCCTACGGAAGCATCATGCTCATTCTGGAAGCTTCATAGAGGGACTAGTGCGAGTGGGGACTAGTGCGGCGGCGCATGTAGCGGCCAATGTTGAGCAGATCTTGGTGACGGAGATGCACTGCTTGGAGTGAGTTGCTAGACTGAATTATGAGTGCTGAATAGCTTCGTTAACCTGCTGTCTGGATGTATAATTTTTTTTTTTGCAGGCGTTATTACGGACTGCCGTGCTTTGCGAGGAGCCTTGCAATAGGGAGCCAGAGGAGGGAAGCAAAAGTTCAAGGAGCACTTACCCCGCCATGCCCCTCCTCGCCAACCCGGCCCTGTGTGCCACAAAGCCCTCAGCCTGAGTGTCGACAGAGGCAGGATGCATCATGGTATCAGGCTTCACAATTGAAGCCTGGGTGTGGGGGGTTTTCAAGCCAGCCTGCTCGTGTCTTTTCCTCCCGGAATGCAACGGATCTGGGCATCTTATCTTGGCGGGCATTGGGCCACGATTCTACAGGAACCGCGTAGAGTGACATTCGATCCCATATTGGGGGGCGGTTTTTAGGCTACTGCCCTTGGCCCGGGAGCCGAAACTGCCATCTTCTCAATCAATGCCACGCCTAGCGACCGAGGCCATTCGCAAGCAACTCAAATCATCAAGGCAGCAGCATAAAGACTTGCCGCCCGAGACAAAACATGGCGTCCATTACGTGTATCTCCGCCTCCGCCAGTAATGCTGACGACGCCGCCCCCTTTTTTCCCGGGTAGTCCGTCAGTCGGAGCAGCCGCAGCGTTTCCCAGCTGGGAAAACGAGAAAAGAACGAGGACAAAGAGTTCTTTTTTTTGGTCGTTAGCACCAATGGTGTCCCGATGGGGAATGGTGCTCTTGCCGCTCTTGCGAGGGGATTGTGGCCGTGTTTGACAGCCTCGTCGACGGTTTGCGGTCAGGTGATTTGCCAGCAGGCCCGTAGGAAACGGCGTTTCGAAACGGTGTTCTAGTGAAGTTGGTTGGTTTCTTTTTATTCTTTTCAATTCAGTTCACCTATCCTAATATTCGAGCAACACTGCAGCAGGTAAGGCCCGATACAGCCACATCAACGCGCTGTGCCTGGTCGTACCTAAACCAGAGAACCGTCATGTACTTGTGAGGAGCTATGATTCATGGCTCATAGCGCGGCATGCTACGCGCCGGCAAGGGCTACACCTCACCGTGGCCTCAGCCACTGCATGGAAGTAAACTTGACATAGATATAGGTTGTGCAAGTCACTGACTGTCGGGAGTGGGTGTAGAGGGAGAGTGACTAGGGAGATTCTACGTACGAAAGGACTCGCCATGAGGTAATTGCTAGCTAGGCTCGCAGATAAGACTATATGCATCTCTGATCGTCTAACTTTACACTAGCCTTTATCTCGTGTCTGCGCTCGTTGGTAATCCATGATTTCTTGCCTCTTTTCTCTTAACATCACGAACCCAACTACCCGTCAGATCTCGCTTATGCCAAGTCTCCTTGAAGTACTTGCACTATCGGCTAAAGCAATCAAATCTAACCGCTACACGGCATATTATCTCAAGACTCGCACTGCGTTACTGGCCTACACGTGGATCAAGGGCTGAGCTTCATACGGCAGTCCCATCAATCAAACGTCTAACAACATTAACGCAACTGCCAGAGCAAATGTTGCCTGTTGTAAGATGTGAGGAATGAATCTAATGAGACCTGTGGGTAAAAAAGGTACCATAACGGATCAAAGGCTGGCCTCTTTTTCTAGCAAGAAGGGCTGCGGTATCTTTGTTACCCATCAAGACTTATTAGCTTTAATCCTTTAATGTTATAACAAGCAGTATACTTGCTTTGAATCTTAGACTTTCTCCCTTATTTCTTATCTACACCCCTTCTAGCTTTGTTTGATTTCTTGATTTCTTGAAAAGGTTTAGCTCTTTCGAGACTGGCCTCTTTCGGCGCTGAGTCGATATACTTGACATACTGCTGGCATATTGAGACTGGATGAACGGCAAGGCATGGTGGATCGAATGGTTATATATGTACTAATGTATGTTGTTCAGACGTGGGCGAATATGACCGTATAGACCCCAATGCCGACCAAAGCACGAAGGGGTGGATGACTGCCATTCTTGAGCTCGGCGTTTGGCTGGATAGCTTGCCCTGGGGTGTGTTGGCCGAAAGTATTTCCCCATATCAAAGCCTAGTCGTTACTTGACGAGAGTATGCGGCAGAGCGTTTTTCTACACCTGCAGGGGCAGACAGCTTGGGGAAGTTCAAGTTGCAGTTCGTGACGGTCCAGTCGCCATGTCAGACTACGGGTGTGATTGGGCGTGTCGTCATGGCTACTGTGCCCATGTTCTTTCACGTGCGTACCGGATTTGCTGACACGGATGCTAGCAAGCGACCGGTGTAATGTCGTGCTGCATTATGATCCGACAATCTTCAAGCGGCTCAGGCTTAGTAGCAACACTACCGCGCTGTTGGCGACGGACGTAGTCGGCACTGTCATGTCCAATTCGGCGCTTTATCAACAAGCCTGGCCTTTTGTCTACAAGGTTCAACCCAGCTTGCAAGCTTGAAAATAGAAGCCAGCTGGCTAGCCTAAAACCCTTTGATGAATTGAAAAGGCGTCATTTTCCATGTCCATCTTCAGCCAAGTATAAGAAAAGCCTCTATCCAGTGGCTAGATAGCAACTTCATTGTCAGCCAGGCGACACCCGACGTTCTCTAACAAATAGTGTACGCGATATATTATATCCTTGCTATTCTCCCCCTCATGGGAACCGGGTGCGTTTGGTTCTTTGTTCCTGGGCCCAAGGGACTTGCCCTGCAACTCATGGTAAGTTAGAACCCAAAGAAAGCACCGATTAGTTGCTGATAGACACACCAGAATGCCCCGCTTGACTCTGAACCGGACGAGCAGGACGACTTTGGGATAATGGTAGACATTACTCGTGACCTTGTAGCCGAGATGGATGATTCGGCTTCGAGAGCCGAGAAGCGTGATGACCGATGGCTTGATGTTTTGCCGAAGCTGCTCGACCGAAGCAAGCAACTTTGTTGAGTAGGAGCTTGAGTAGGGAAACAACGACAGTTACGAAGCATCTCATTCGTATTTGGCGGACATGAGGCACAGGCCAATTTTCCAGTGTTGAGCCAGGATTATGATGGGCTTCTCCCAGGGCTGACGAACGACACAGACAATCTCGGAGAGCTCTTCTCCACGCCTAGCGGTTCGTGCTGATGGCAATGTAGCGGGTGCGGCAGCGGGTATTTTCCCTGTGAGCTGTTGATGTGTTGGTTCGCACTGGCGTCTGGGTGGATTGTGGTGTGGTTTGAGCAACCGAGCACACCTAGATCGGTTCTCGTACATGGTCCGTACGTTGACAGTTGGAGTACAGTCTGTGGCAGAATGTGTTTGCCCGTCAGGTAGTACGTACTAATAAGGTACGATGGTATATTGCAGTATGGAGCGCGATAGCCAGTATCTGATGTGGTTCAATACATACTTTTTGCCTGCCACGGTACTCCGTACGGAGTAAGCACTTGGTAAACGGTGGATGAAACGGTGGGCAGGTCGACGCAAGGCTGTGTGGCTGAGCGGTTAAGATGATGGAGGGGCGAGGAATCGCTGAGTCGCTGACCTCGCGCTCGCTCAGCAACTGCCAATGTGTCTGGTGGGACAGCTGCAAGAGCTGGTGTCAAGAGGTGTCAGGCGGCCGTGCATGGACTGTGCCAGATGTCAGGGATCAATGTTTGGTGAAGCACAAAGGCGTATGTTGTTCCATCCCTGCCAATGTTCCGGAGAGATCTTGGAGGTGAGGACAAAAGGAAAAGGACGGGGCCGGGAGCGGTTGGTTCTGTTGGTTCTGTTGGCTCAGTTGGAACATGTACGGTGTTTGTGTGGTGGTGACGACGGTGAAGACGACGACGGCTTGACGCATTCTCGAGCAGCGTCAGATGGTGAGAATGGAGGCTCCGTCGTCTGGCGCGCAACCAGACCCAGCCACCACCACCAGCCAATCATGCACCGTTAAAGCGGCAGCCCGGCGGGCAAAGGGGGGCCGCCCGAACTGCTACCAGAGACAGCTACTGGTCGTTTGGCGCTGATGGTCTCGGCTGGTGGAGCAAGCGCTGCGTGGTGCGCGGTGCGTCGGCGAGGGAGAGCTGACAAGACAACGAGCGCCAAAGAGCCAGTGGGCCTAGCACCAGTTGAGCAGTCGTCTGGTGCGCTCGCCGCTGGCACACACGCTCCCCTGGCCACCGGTCCAACTCTGCAGCGCCAGGCGCCAGGCTGCCCTCCTTTCTCCCCTCCACTTAACATGCCCCAGCCACTTCTTCCTCCTTCTTCAACCTCACATCCCCAGCTACCACCAAATCTTTCCACCACCGAGTCTCCTTCCTGGCTCTTCCTCATCGCTTGCTTCGTTACTTTCGAATTCCCCTTTATCTCGTGAGCCTCATCCATAAACGCCCAGTATACCGCTTTTTCTTGCTCTTGAACTGAACTGTACTCTTTTTCTTTTCTCACAAACAGCTTTCTATCTTAGTCAGTCACCATGGAGGGTACGTCGCACGCAACCACGCATCCTCGTCTCGAGATGCTGCAAAGCTGCATCCCCAAGACCATAGATCTTGTGTGTAATCGTCGCATTGCTAACCCTTCTCCTCGATGCAGAAGAGGTTGCCGCTCTCGTCATCGACAATGGGTAAGCTCTGCTGTGCTCTGCCACGGATATACCGTCCTCTGCCACCCCCGCTCCCTCACCGACCTCTCGAGCGTCGCACCCTGCGTCCCCCACGCAAGCGTGTCGAGCAGCACCAGAGCCGCCGGGGCGATTGGGCCATCAAATCGAGAGGAATGAGATGGCTATTTAAATTCGAATTATCGTGCTGACTTGATGGTAGTTCGGGTATGTGCAAGGCCGGTTTCGCCGGTGATGACGCTCCCCGAGCTGTTTTCCGTGAGTACCCCACTTCGTGTCCTTCCAGCTCCCATATGGCCTTTGTAGCTCGTTGTGGGAGCATTTGTTGAGCGGCGCGCGCAACCGTCGCTACCGCCATAATGATTACATCAAATATGCTAATTTTTCTGCCATAGCTTCCATTGTCGGTCGTCCCCGTCACCATGGGTAAGTTTTTTCCCCCGCAACCGCACGATATCTATTTTTTTTTGGGTCGCCTAAACGATTTTTGCGCTGCAATTGGATGCGCACCACGCTCGACACTATGTCTTGAAACTGGTCGTCTAACAGGTGTTTTGCAGCATCATGATTGGTATGGGTCAGAAGGACTCTTACGTCGGTGACGAGGCTCAGTCCAAGCGTGGTATCCTCACCCTGCGATACCCCATTGAGCATGGTGTCGTCACCAACTGGGACGATATGGAGAAGATCTGGCACCACACCTTCTACAACGAGCTGCGTGTCGCTCCTGAGGAGCACCCTGTCCTGCTTACTGAGGCTCCCATCAACCCCAAGTCCAACCGTGAGAAGATGACCCAGATTGTTTTCGAGACCTTCAACGCCCCCGCCTTCTACGTCTCTATCCAGGCCGTTCTGTCTCTTTACGCCTCTGGTCGTACCACCGGTATCGTCCTCGATTCAGGTGATGGTGTAACTCACGTTGTCCCTATCTATGAGGGTTTCGCTCTTCCTCACGCCATTGCTCGTGTTGACATGGCTGGCCGTGACCTCACCGACTACCTGATGAAGATCCTGGCTGAGCGTGGCTACGCCTTCTCCACCACTGCCGAGCGCGAAATCGTCCGTGACATCAAGGAGAAGCTCTGCTACGTCGCTCTCGACTTTGAGCAGGAGATACAGACCGCTTCTCAGAGCTCTAGCCTGGAGAAGTCCTACGAGCTTCCCGACGGTCAGGTCATCACCATTGGCAACGAGCGATTCCGCGCCCCCGAGGCTCTGTTCCAGCCTTCCGTCCTCGGTCTCGAATCTGGCGGTATCCACGTCACCACTTTCAACTCCATCATGAAGTGCGATGTTGATGTCCGAAAGGATCTGTATGGCAACATTGTTATGGTACGGATCTCGTAATCATCATCTCAATGTCTTTACTTACTCAAGCTAACTTTGCCCCAGTCTGGTGGTACCACCATGTACCCCGGTCTCTCCGACCGTATGCAGAAGGAAATCACCGCTCTTGCTCCTTCTTCCATGAAGGTCAAGATCATTGCTCCTCCCGAGCGAAAGTACTCTGTCTGGATCGGTGGTTCTATTCTGGCGTCTCTGTCTACCTTCCAGCAAATGTGGATCTCGAAGCAGGAGTACGACGAGAGCGGTCCCTCGATTGTCCACCGCAAGTGCTTCTAAGTCACACCAGAACCGAAACACCCCCCGCCCATGACCAACTCAAGCCAAGATCACGGAGGTGGCGGCCGATGCAGAGCCTTCTCGGCCTCGCGAGCATCTCATTCCGGTGTCATATTTACGAAAAGTTTTTGATAGGGTTCAGGAGGCGGGCCGTGTCTTTTATCCGAAGAGGGATGATGGGTCATGTGCTGTAACCGGATGGGTAATACGGGCCTAGTGGTAGAGCTAAGGTTGATCAAACCAGTACTTTATTTTGCTTTCCGTTCTAGACTCGTTTAAATGGAAGAATGTAACGATGTCAAGGCAGAGTTCCACTTGTGAATGCAATGTGTTTTGCCGGTGGCAGGATAACTGCGTCACGGCTGTTTATTCTTTTCTTGGGGACGTCTGGTTTCCTCTACAACAGTCTCTCGCTCAACCTGACTAGAGCTGTCGAGCTCGTGTGGTGGTAGTTGTTGTTGGGGCTCGCCCTGACCTCCTGCAGCCCCCCTCTCCTCCCTCTCCTCGTCCAACTTTCTATACTTGCGGCGACTCTTTTTGGCTGCACTAGCGGCCTTTTTCTTCTTGAATTGGCCGACTATGCTCGACCGGCTCTGCTCGCCGTGAAGCAAGTCGTCGACTTTCTGGGCGAGCAGTTCGCGGGCGTGCTTGCGGTTCTGGCTTCTCGACCGGGTGGCCTGGGACTTGACGACTATGCCCGTCGGGACATGTTTTAATTGAACCGCCGAATTAGTCTTGTTCTGTGGGCATCGAATTAGAAAAAAATACAATAAAGTCACCGTGTGGGTTGGAACATGTGTGGGATTTGGGGAGGTTGTGGTTTATTTATTTTGAGTACAATCTTCTGGCCGCCTGGGCCGGAGCCCTTGAGGAAGGACTCTTCGATCTCGCAGTCTGGCGGGGGTTTAGGGCGTGGCGGGAGGTTTTTCGATTGCGGGGCCGTGAGGGTGAATGGTCGTGAGAGTGTTGCGAGAAGATGCGTTCTTGGTATGCGCCGAGGGAGGCGAAACATGTTCATTGCGGTGGGATGCGGACGTTTGGGCTTGGGTGTCGCCTGTGTGATGGATGATGGAGTTTGGTGGATTTGAGGGCAGACTGTGTAGTGACTTGTATTTTCGGGGCTGATAAGCCTGTGGACCAAGTACATGTACATCTGTGCAACTGCGTGGGGACAAAAAGTTGGAACCTGACTTTTCCCCCTGGTCCTCGGATTCAGGGACAGTCACTCAAACGAACCATCTGAAATCCGCACATCTCGACCGCGACACCCCTCGACTTGCCGCCGCTCGCTACGCTTATAGACTCCCCGGGACGCGCTCAGAAGGACCCCAGCGTGCTCTACGATTTTGCACCGAAGAGGGCCCGCCGACATGTCCGTGGCCGCCGAGTGTCAACGCTGGCTGCGGCGGAAGCAGTACACGTTCGAGGTGACGTTTGCGCTGAACATGTTTCGGTCGTGGGAGAAGAGCGTCATATGTACGTGTGCCCCTGCTGCGTCTCCACGCCCGGGGAGAAGTTGTTTTGCTATAAAAAAGGAGCGACGCCGAGTTGAAGAAATAGTGCTAACGTTGCGGATTCAGACTCGGTCCTGTTCCTCCTTTGCAGCATGACGTTTATCGCCGCGGTGCTCTATCTCCCGCACCATGTTACCGTTCTTGCCGGCCGCGCGTGGTACTACATCAAGGGGGAGCACATCAATGTCGCTGCGGCGGCGCGGGAGGCCGTGCAGGAGGTGGTGTCCAAGAGCGTGGCTGGCGACGCGATGCCGACGGTTGAGGCGGTCAGGGAGGCTGTTGTGGGTGCTGTTGAGAAGGAGCTGTAGGGACGGGAAAAGTGGCAGTACGGTCGAGGATGGTTGCCGGTGGCGAGCGCAGGGGGATATTCGCATCGCGGGCATTGTATGGCGCTGCTGATTGGCCTCGCTGGGCTTTGGCTTCATGGTACGCTGCATAGTAATACTAATGACATGGAATGTATACTTGGTGTGTGTGTGGTGTGCTTGGTGCTGTGTTACTGTTGGTGTCTGATGACACGGTTTGGCATGTGCCGTGAGGAACAATGAAGGAGCCCATGTCTACGAACTGCTATGACTACTTGCGCGGTTTGGCGAAGACGTCAGCGGTGCGTGCCAGCCCGCCTCATCATAGACAGTCCGCTCATTACCGTCAAAGGATCTTGGGCTGGAGGAAACAGTCAATCAAGTTTCATCGTGGAGCTAGGTAGGGTATGTTGAAAGATGCACCGACACAAGCAAGTAGAAGGAGGACACCTTGTCTCTTTATTCTCTTTTTTTTTTGGTGGAACACGTTTCGAGCCTGGGCACGGGGCGCGACGTCATATGTCATAATTCGGTATCTTGGGTTGCGGAATTGCGAGGCGTGTTGGGACCTCCCAATGCCCAGGTATATCCGGCTGGTGATGTGAAACCGACATTGTTGCTTGAACCAATCACGTACTGCCGTCTAAAAAAGGATGGCCATTGTATACAGTTGTTCAACCTGGTATATATGCCCTACGAGGAAATCGAACCCGAGGGGGTTGTAGTGAAAGCCGGGGCAAGGTAGTTATTCTTACAACTTGTCAACTGGTACCAGACTTTATTTCACTTGGGGCTCCGACTGGATATGACAATACAGCGCCCTTGCTATCCTTCCCCTGCGTCAAGAACAACTTTATTCAAAACGGCTATATAACTCATGCTCTTGTATTTACCTGGCCAGGATGCCTGTCACCGTCATCAACTCAAATGATCAACTCAAGGCGTTCCTAAAGAAGAACAAGAAAGTCGTGGTCGCGATCGCGTCGCCCGGTCTTGCGCACTGCGATGGTATGAAAGGTGAAATCGAGACACTCTCCATAAAGTACCCAGACATTGTTTTCGTCTCGGTCGACGGCGGTGAATTCCCCCCTAAGATCGGGGAGGCCAACAACTATTTGGTCCCTTGGGTCACGATGTACGAGAAGGAGGAGAAGTTCGGGGATTGGACATTTATCGACAAGGTCAGCCTCGCCGAGAAGATTGAGGCGTTTGCCAACGCTCAGCCTCTGACATCGGCGGAGCCATTGCGGGAATCTGGCTCTGAATGAGGAATCCAATGTAGAGAGTGGTTGTTTTGGTCATCCAACGCTTGATGGGCCAAGTGCACAGATAGGAGATAAAATGTGGCGATTTTACAGGAATAGCCGACAATCTCATGTATTATATATAAACTTTCCATAGAAATTTGTCTTTGACCATCTGCAAGTCCACAGAAGAACCTTTCTGCCCACTTCTTGGGGAGCTCAAAGAGGCATGCCGGTCCATTGCCGTGTCATGTTATACCTCTACTAGGTGGGCACATTCGCCATCCAGGAGACTGGAATACTATAAATTAGCTGCATGGCAAAACAGATGGCAACGTCAACTATACCGCGGGCCGTGAATACATTCTGCCCAGCGTATACTGCAACGAGCACGATGCACGGCAATAGCAATATAGGCGTTATATTCAAAGACTAAGCCCGGGCCCTCGCATATCTCATTTATAGGAAAACCACACCAGGCTGCGTGGCTAGATGAGCTAGCTGGCTGCCTAGTTGGGCTGAAAACCTATTCCCGTGAGCCACCCACTGTCGTTGTTACCTTATATTTCTTCCTCCGCATCACCACTCTCCCCTCCAGCTTGGTCTGGGAACAAGAGTTTAAAGCGATCTGTGATTTCTTTGTCACTCATACGGTTCCAATCGGCTCTACGACTAGAACCAGCGCAGGAATCTTGTTCAGACCCATCGACCGTGCTTGGTCTTCATGGTCTTCTGCAATGTCTCAGCTGTCGGAAACTTTCTTTGGTATCTGCTCCCACGCCTCCTCTGCAACTTTTGGGTTGTCGAAGAACAAGCTATAGAGCTCCCGAGTGAATTTGAGTTTGTGGCAAGTCTTAGCCACTGCAGGCGAAAGCCCTTGAATCACGTCACGCTTCGCCGAATCAAGGTGCCGGACAATGTCAAGAGGTTCATCTCCTCGCCAGCGATTTCAACAACCTTGGGAATCCATTTCTCTTCGAGCCATCTATTGCCCGCCAAGTAATGCTTTAATCCGTCTTTCAAAGCCTCTTTCTCTTGGACTCGGAAGGCTATATGATGATTAGTATGCTATCTACCACAAGAAATACGCTTCTTGCTTTTAGGCTTGGACATTGTGTCCTAGGTCTTGTAAAGTGTACCGGAAAGCGGGCGGAATTTGCGTTGTGTTGAGCAGCTTTTTTGTGCGTTCGGCTGGTAGACGGTGGTAGGTGAGCTTTTCTTCTTTTTTCTCTTCTTTGCGATGCGCTATGTCAATGAGAGTGTGTAGATGAGAGTTGTGCTGGCAGTGGCAGTGATGGGGATTTATATAGTTGTTTGACATCACTTTCGTAGCTGACTGGTTGTGTGCTTAATGTGAACAAGGTAAAAACATTTCCAAAAGATACTGTAGAGAAACAAGAGGCTGAGTGAGTGTGCCTGTTGTTCACGCAGTAGTGCTCTTTGTTCATAGACATGAAATGTATCGAACCTCGAACGGCGAGTGTACAACAGAAGGACGCATTGCGAAGCGGTAAGAAATAACATGCAAGTTTGTTGAAGCATGTACCTGGGACAAAGCACCCTTGTTTTCTTACACTTGTTGGTAGCTAGCTCTTATCCACGACGTGTTCAGTTGGCTGGACAGAGGCACGCGATTGTTCACAAAAAGAGGTTTCACAAGGAGAACACTGAATGATGCTGTATACTTAATAAGGCGGGACTTTCATTAAATAGAGAGGCTGCATCATTGCCTCACACCCTTTCTTTTGTAGCGCAGGGCGCTGGTGGGCAATTTATCATGCGGCGAATCATTCTACGCACTCAGCGATGCCGAATCTGAAAGGCCTGAAACCGCCCGTACCTCAGGACTATGCAACCGAGTCTGATATTGCCCTACCTTGAAGCTCAGAGCGTAGGCCCTGCTGTTGTTCAAAAGGTATAGGGAATAGATGAGAAGTTCATTACAACTGCTCACATGGGTTTTCAGCCTTGGCCTGCTCCCGGACCTTGGTGAACATATTGACAACAACTGTCGTAACAGGGCTAGTTGTAGTCACGGTCCAAACCCAGAATCATAGACACTTACGCATATTGACGGGGGTAATCTTCTCAAGGTCCAGGTTATCCGGGAAACAGGCTAAGCCCACAGCTATCCGAGACTATTTTGAAGCTGGGATATATATGCGGTACCTCTTGTACCAACTAGTTGCGTTCTTGCACGACGATTATCGGGCTTGGTTGCTGAGCCACGGAGCAAAAAGACGCAAGCAATAACGACCCTTGGCCGAACATGGCCGATATCCAGCTTATAATCGTATCATTTGGGCTCTTTGACAGAGCTCCAGTCAAACTTTCAAACACATCCAATACATATAACGATAGAAGTGGGTCAGTAAACTATTTGTGAACATCTCTAGTGAAGTGAAACCTATGCTATTCACGACGTGGGCAGAGTCTAGGAACCCCCTTCATAACCATGGATATTGTCCCACGGCACACGAGGGCTACGATTACGGGACCTAGGGCAGAAGGCCCTCACCTACTACTTGTATGTATAGAGACCTTTGGTCCCTCAAAGACTTTGAAGACCAAGGACATTTAATACCAAAGACTGTTATTAAATGAATTAAGCTACAACTCTAAGCCCTCATAAAGCCCTTGCCACAGATATGAGCACATCTCCCCTTATTATCCCACAGCCTTGCATAGCTGTGATAAACGTTTACCATTGATAAATCCCTTGATATTCCTCTCACGTGGCAGTATGTCTACCCAAAGCCGGAGACGCAGCTTTCGCAGCTGAGTTGCAACAACCGTCAATACCATTGCACAGTTCATATTCGGCATTACGCTATGAATTGGCAGAAGGGGCTGATGTTTATTGTGCATCACTATAGGCGTAGATTAGCCGGCACAATTCGAACGAATAACCCACCGCGAGCATTGAATTGCTTTGCGAGGCTGACAAGCAGACTACGCATCCATTGCCAAGTTGCGCAGCGGCGGAGACTAGACCGCTCTTACAGTCTGTGGCGGGACATGTTTGTCCACCGAGGAGTATACATTAATATGTTGTAGTATGTTATAGTGTAAGCCGCGACAGCCGGGTAGCTGATCTTGTTCGTACTATTTGCCTCCCACTGTATAACGGCGTAATCACCGGACAAGCTAGGTTGCTGCCTGCTATATGGTTTTGACACTGTTTTTTCAGCTCGTTATGAGAAGAGATCCGCCCGCTTATCTGCGTGGGCAATGCTCAGGCGCATTCTTTCTTGTGGCTGATTTGTCATTCGCAAATGTCAGCTGCTAGTCGTAATGTTGTGGTATAAGAATTCCGCTGCCCTGAGTCAGTCCGTGGACGGTAAACTAATCGTCCTCAAATCTTTGATTATAGACCTACCCGTGAAGAGAGCACAATCCAAAGGTAGACCATTCCATTGATTGTCTTGGAAAAGGTACCCCGGGATCCTCAAGGCCTTGAGCTGTGAGCGTGCACCTGTTTCGTGATTTTCAACTTCATGCATCCTCACGAATCTAGAGGTCCTTACATCGGATTTTGTGGAATCATACCGATTACGAAGAGCTAGCTCTTGTGAATCCGAGCAGCTCAGCTTGTAGGGTCAGTACCTTCAGGGTCTCAGAGTGGTTATCGGGCTTGACTACTAAGCTACGGAACAAACAGATCTAGGAACAACGGCCCTTGGCCGAATATCCCCGATAGCCTTATAAATATACGCCCTTGGCTCTCTTCTTTCTTCGTGGTCCTGACGCAAGTTTCGTACTAAGTGCTTTCACGGCTCAAAGCCGTTCTCTCAATCGACGATTATTGCCTTTGGTTCTTTCTCATACTTCAGCTTTGCTAGACTTTAAAAACCGTTCAAGGTCGAGCCCGTCCAACCCAGCGGGATGATGAAGAAACTTCCTCCATCTACTCTAGCTTGGATGCAGAGGTGGCCAAGACCTGGGCAAAGTATTGGGTCAATGCTGATGATGTTTCTCCCCAAAGTCGGCCCTCTCATCAACTTGCCTGGCTTTCTCACCGTCTTGGAGAGCACTGCCAGCGTCTTATTGATAAGCAACGCACAGTGGGAGGCACAAAGTATTTAACCAGATCAGGTATGTGGTTATCGCGCTTTATATTATAACATATTATTGTATAATTCTCTCTCGGTAAGATATTCCATCACAGACTGTATATTATATTATAAATCATATACTTGAGCCAAGATTGAGTCAAGTACCTGATGTAATGCAGGTTTTAATTATATATCATCTTAACAGCACTCCTAGTTATATTTGTTTAGGAGGTTAGCCCTGTCCGCTTTGTCAATTACACAACCGGCCTGTCACCGGTGACGACTTCTCATGGGCGAATACACTAGTCAGGAGTGGTTCCACCAATACCCAGAAGAGGGCATTCACACTGCAGTGGCCGCAGGACGGCAGCGTGGACCTGTACAGCGTCAACGTGCCGCTGGTGGAGGATGTCGAGTCACGTAAGACCGTCTTTGCCGACATGCTCCAGAATACGTGGGAAGGCAGCTGCTTCGAGGAGGTCGAGGATGAATCGGGCGATACGGCCATCGAGGAGGCGCTCTGAGCAGAAAAGAGCTGCTGCTTTGAGCATCTCAGCGAGCCGAACTGTCAAGGGGATATAAACAGGGGATGTGGTTATTAAGAGAATGTTACTATTTCGCGGGGCCCGTGGGAAACCAATAAGCTAATATAAGCAATCGTGCAAGATAATCAGGCCCGGCAGGTAACTGCAGTCAAGTAGCTACAGCGAGGTAGATTTGCCAACATATAGCCAGCCCTGTATCAGGCATATGACTCCAAATGTTGGAATCTGGTGTACCCGAGTTTCGCTTTCCGACCGTACCAGGTCCCTGAGCAGCGCCTGAGCGATATATTACGGTTCAACATGGCCGCCTCTCACCAAGCGGTGTCCAACGCACCGATAGAATATCCCGCTTCAACCCCAACCATGGCAAGTTTCACGTCTCAACTCCAGCATCGCCCCCCTGGTCGTGTAGAGTCGGCGAGCATTCCTTCCACCGTGGCCCCATCCGGAGACCTCTGCGCATCTCTGCTAGGCTTCCTCTTTCACCAAACGACCTTGATCGCAACCCTTCTCCTCCTCGGCCTCCTCAGTGGCATCATGGTGTCCATTGCGTGCAACAGGCGCGTGAGCCTCCTTGCAATCCACGCCCGGACACGCTCCGCACCGACGACGGGCTTTGGACCCTTCTAAGCCAGGTGTTCCTCCAGATGCTGTCCGTCTTTTGCACCTTGTACCCCGTCATACTCATCCGTGAGATAAAAGTGTCCATTGCCAACGTCTGGTTCCTGTCGCTTTTGGCCGTCAGTCTCGCGGCGGTAGTTGGGGCCGTCGCTGCGTACTCTTAGAGCTGGCAAGTGGCCGTGGTGCTGAGTTTTGTCATGAGTTTTGCACAGATCATATCTGCCGGACAGCTGGCGGTGAGTCTGCACTCGATTGATGGACGACGTGGACGTGTTAGGAGAAAAAAAAGGTTGGAGATGGAGGAGCGATAGTACTATTTCTTATGAGGTCAGTCGCGTAGTTTGAAAAAGGGGGCCGATATAGACCACGACGAAACAAATCAATGCCGATACCATACAGTCCGATTCTTCCACATGTTAAATTATGTACATAGTACAAATACGGCTCAATCGTTAGGCCATTTGGAGCATGCGAATGGCGGCAAGGGCACTTACGATTTGAAAAGATTATTTCCACGATATTACAAAAAGTTCCCAGCAACACCAGGCTTAATCTCCTCCAACTTCTGCGTCAACTCCCCCCAAAACATCTTCTGCACCTTGCGTCCGTCCTCACTCCCCAAAAACGCCGACGGCTCAGTGACCACACAATCAGACACATACTTGCCGTGGGATTCTTGGCCCATCGAAGCCGCAGCAACCAGATTTCTGCTCCCGACCTCGGCGGAGCGCGCCAAGACCAGCTTCAAGAACCAAAACCCCCAGGTCGGATAATCACGGCCCAGCTCCGAGTGACAAAGGCCAGGGTTGACACAGTTCACGGTGACGGGAAACTTGGCCGCGGGGCTCTGCTCGCCTATGGCCCTGACGCCAAATATCTCCAGCAGCTTGGAAGCCGGGTACTGCATTGCAAAGCGCGTCTCGACCGTCTGCCGGTCATTGACCAGCGGCCACAGCTCTCCCGCCGCGGCGGCCCGCGTAACGAGATCCGCGGCTGCGGCATGCACGCCCGACGAGGTGATGGTCAGGGTAGGTCTGATGCCGAACCGCCTCGCCGATTCCTTCATCTTGGGGAGGACCAGCGCGGCGAGCAAGAAGGTCGACACGACATTGACCGTCATCATGCTCTCGTTGCCTTCGGCGGTGTAGTAGCTGCCTGGTGCGATGCCCGCGTTGGCGACAAGGACGTCTACGCGGCTCAGCTCCGAGTCTACGCGGGCGGCAAACTTCTCGACAGAGGCGTAGCTGGCCATGTCGAGCTGCCAGACCTGCACCTCCGTCGGGCCATCTGCGCCGCCTGCATCTCGTAGACTGCTCTCGATTTCTTCCTTGGCGGCCTGTCCCTTTTCGAGACTGCGCACGGCGAGTATCACCTTTTTGGCGTGGAGCCGGGCAAAGTGTCGCGCTGCTTCTTTACCCAGACCGACGTTGCTGCCCGTGACGATGACCGTCTGGTCTGCGTGCGAGCCTGATGGGTAGGGCAGCCGTCGGATGAGTTGGCTGTATAGAAAGCTGGCCAAGGACATGGCTTTGGAAATCTTGTTTGGGATGGACTGGATTGAGAAATGCATTGATGATTTGAAGACGTGGTGGCGGTTTTATGTGCTCTTATGAAGGTATTTTGCACCCGTCCGTGAGCATTTTGGCACCAGTACACGTGGTAAATTTCCCGGTTGGGAAAGTGTTGTGCAGAATGCGGCTCCCGGAATTAGCGGAGCCAACGCACAATTCGCACAGGCCTGATGAGATCAATGGCGGCCGTAAAGCCCGTTTCGAGCGATTGGAAGGGGGCGCCTGGTATCAGGAGAGTCTGGTAGATACTCCGGACAGATGGCTCGCTCGGCGTCGCCTCTATAGTGGCCGTATACGCCTGCTGCATCCCTTGGCAATTGGAGATGAAGTGTTTCGCCTGAAAACATGACGCCTGTCGCATGTTAACGCAGGACCTGCCACCGTCACGCATTTTACATTACCTCGTTTGAGACTGACAAAGGTCACTGTGAGTGGTGGTTGACTATTCTGATTGTCTAGCCTGGCACCCCAGCATTCGAGGTCATATTGCTGCACAAGATGAAGCATTGACGTGCTGTGAGGTTGGCACCATCTTTTGTGAAACTCGGTCAAGTAGCAAGACAGTGGCGTATGGCAGTTCTTGCATTCATCACCCAACACTGTAAGACAAGACTAATGATATGGTTGACGTTGAACGGCTGGCAAGTATAAAAAAGGGCGCATCGCTCACTCACTCTGTCAATAATGTTGACCATCACAGGAATCCCAACGGTGAATAAGATCTGCCAACAGAAGGAAAAGGCACACACCAAACTGCCACTAGTGTATTGATCATGTGAGGCGGAAGACAGACTTGTACTTGCATTGCGTCAGAGTTGGCAACACCTGGATGAAAGGTCAAAGTATATACTTTCTTTTTGCAACCGTATTTTTATTTCAGTCTATTCATTGTATTCGTAAATAGGCTTCATTGAATGAAATCAGCCTCAGCGAGCTATCGTCACCAGCCACGGCTAGTGTGTAGGCAGACTCGTCGGTTTTGCGGATTGGTTTCCAGGCCAACTGAAGAACTGTCTTGGGAAGCTTCAACCTACATCATGTCAGTTAGTCATGGGATTCAGCTGTTGGATGAATACTTGTCCCGCTATCAGCTTACTCTGGTTGTGATGGCAATTCAGTGACCGCCAGGCCATCTTCTTTTACTAAGCAGATGCTGACTTTGCCCGCTTCTGTTCCGACTGCCAAAACCAGCTTTCCCCCGACCATGGTTGATAGGAAGTCAACAGATGTGACAGAACCTCCGCAGGGAAGACTGGTAGTTTGGGTAAAGTGCAACTTGCCATCTTCTCCTACCTGTGAAGACCAAATTCTAACCTGCTTGTCTCTGCCTGCCGTGGCAAAGAGAGGCGCTTCTGTTGGTGCCCAGGCAGCGTCGAGAATCATTCTGCTATGGCCTTTGGGATTTGACTGGAGCAGCTGGTACATGGCGTCGATGCCAGTATTTCTCTCAAACACAGCCCACTGCCGGTCGCGACCGACGCTGAGTAGGTACTTGTCGTCGCCTGAGAACCTGAGTCGAGTGGCCGTCAGAGAGTGTGCTACAAGCGGCGGCCGGATTTCTGTCCATTTCTCCGTCTCAAACAGTCGAATCACGGCATGGTTTGTAGAGCTAGCTTTGCAGGCGCTGGCGATAATTCTGCCGTCATGGCTGGTTGCAAGGCATGAGATTTCATAGCCATGGCCATATAGCTTCTCAACCTCTGGCCACAGAGTGTGTCTTGAAAGGGTTTCTTCAAATGGCGGGTGGTCAATTTCCAGGTATGACTTCTTGACCACCGAGGCAGGATCCATCGCTTCTCGGTCGCGGTCATCGATTGGTTGGATCTCTTGGTCATCATCCACCGCATCGATGGCCTTGTTGGAAAGTCCGAGAACAGGCATATTAGCTGCATCTGGCATGTCTTGCACATTCTCATGGCCAAAGCCCGCAAGCCTGTTGAGTAGTGTCGCAACTGCCTTCGGCTCGCTGAACACTCTCATGAGCTTCTCATCAGCGCCGGAGACAAACTGAGAGTCTCCCAATGAGTCAATGCAGTTCAAGTCGTACCCGTGAATTTGCGGCCGAGACATTTCATGCCACGTGCCAGCGCCAGACGCCGTCCACCTTGTATGCAATCGTGATGTCTGATCAGAGCTTGTTGACAGGAGATAGTCGCCGCCCTTGGCCCAAGTGATGCCAGTGACTGCTTTGGTATGACCAGTGATGGCGACACATGGCTTCCATGTATCGGTTGAGGAATCGTGTTGCCAGCGTCTCCAACTTCCTGTCCTTCCAAGACAAGCAACAGAGTCGCCGAGCGGCGACCACAGTCCAGTCCAGAAACCGCCAGTACTGCCAGTTGCTGTCGTGGCCCCCTTTTCTCTGCTGATCTCGCCCAATCTTGCCATGCTAACCCAGATTCCAGAGGCAGGATCAGCTTCCCAAATTGCCAAAGAGTTGTCGGCGGACGTTGAGAGAAGTTGCAGCTTGCCATCGGCACGGGTCTTCCACCTTGCGCTATAAATCCAATCTTCGTGGCCTAACAGCAATGCTTCGAACGTCACAGAAAAGTCTTTGCCTGCGGCTTTCAAATGATGTACCTTATTTGAAGGCGATTTCCCAGGAAGAAACGCACCGCTCAGTGGATCTGACCCGGCTGCTGCTAGAGCCGGTAGCTCTTGTCCTTGGCGAATTCTCCAGATACGAATGTACTTGTCTTGACTGGCTGATGCCAGGAGGAGATCGCTACTAGGTTCGTTTGTCTGCTTTGTAAAGCTCAACGATCGCACCCAGCCTTCGTGTCCAGATAGGGTCGCTTGCACACTAAAGCCTATGCTTGGAGCATTGAGATCAGCCGTGAGGATCTGGACCGTCTCGCGTGTGCCAGCAGCTGCTAGAATGAGCACGTCGCCGTCAATAATGCTCAAAGAGAGAGTCAAAGGAAAGAATTTTGGTGTTGTCTTTATGAATTGAAGAAGTTGCAGTTGACCATTCTCAAAAGACCAGATCTTGATTGTTGCGTCAGCAGCTCCCGTTGCGACAATCCATTTGGCCGGTTCGCCAGCAATCCTCACGGCAGTAACGCAGTTTACAGGAGCGGTGTGTTCGGACGACGACTGTACAGCTTCAAAGTTGTGGCCATGGTCTGTCGACTTCCAGAAGATGAGAGTCTTGTCATCAGAGCCTGACACGATGTAGCTCGAGTCATCCTCGTCGTTTTCAGGCAGAAATACTACTGCTTTGACTGTTTCCTTGTGGCCACTCAGAATACTCTCAATACCACGAGGAGGTTGAGCCTTTGGAAAGTTAGTTTGTTAGCGTCAAATGCGAATCGCAAGGTTTGGCAAGGGTCAAGAACTCACGGCCGGGCGCCAGAGGGCAATGTTCACATCGGCTCCAAAGGCCAACAACCCAGTCTTGCTCCAGTCAGCAACCGAAGTCTGCCTGTTAGCACCGGCAGACAGGTATTCTACCGACAGCCCTTCAGCGGCCATGTCGACAGCCGTCTACGAGAAAGCATTCGAGGTGAGTCTGAAAATTGTGTAGACTGGACGTTGTGGAGGAGCAATGATGTCCTTATCGATAAGCAGTGCTTTTGCACTAACAAATTCTGCACATGCATCCATGATATTATGCTAAGATTCACTTCCAAGTGGCCCCCGCGCGCAAATCCATCATCGCAAATTGTAACTTTTTGCTGTGCCTCTTTGTCTTTTCACACAACCGTACGCACAAAGAAGAATGGCGACAGCGGAAACTCCGTGTCCCGACGGGCAACTTACTGTAGCCGTCGAATTCTCGTAAGTCCACTTCACTTCGCACGCAATCCCTATTTTGTGGCAAATTCAGCTGGACAACCAACGGCCTTCACGAGTCAGGGACCTGGCCTGGTCTTTGCAACATCGCCATACGCCCAATCGCCATCTCAATGGCAGCCATCATTATTGAGATTTATGCGTCCCCTGGTCCCAGTCCTTCGTCCATCATGACGCTAGAACCCGACTAACAATATCGACTGCAGAGGAGGCTTGGAGATGCTCTTTGCCGACCAGCGAAACCATTCGCTCAAACTTCCTGTCAAGGACAAGGGGGGCCAACCGGCTAATATCGCTTTCTTGATCCATCATCTTTGCCAGAACGTTATGAATGACACACGCAAGGAACTTTTTGTCCTGGACGACCATCTGTATGTGAATTTCCAGTTTTTGTGTCTCATCCCCGTGCGGTCTCTCAAAACACGCACCCCTTCTGTTGTGAGAAGTCATTTTCCACTCGCAACGTTGCCTGCTGCTGGGTGAACGTGCGCCGACAGAATGGCTCAAACCAGTAGGATTGGTCAAGCGACCACTCGGGTAAAAGCATGGCGTATCTCATCATTTCAGGTCCTTTTTTTTTCCTTGCAGCCGCTATTTCCGTTTCGGCACCACTCGAGCACCGCTAACCAGGCTGTTGGGTCACGGCAGTCGGCCGGGAATCCTAGTTCTCATCAACGATGCTGACTGGGAGTTGGAAGGGGAGGAGTCGTATGAACTCAAGAGTGGCGATAACATTCTCTTCGTGTCAACTTTGCATGGAGGCTAGCTCCATAATCCGGATGTAGCTGGACAGCCTCCCCGTTGCCGCAGTTAGAGTCATGGATGGAGTCTCCCAGCGCTTCTGCTAATCGACTACTCTTTTCCCCGAATCCATTAAGAAACGCTGGCGGTTGAAGTTTGGAGAGTGACGGTTGTGTTCGTCAACTACATGCTGGAAAGCCACTCCCCGCGTGACTTTTGTCTCAGACGGAGAGGGGTGTCGATGCTGGAAATCAGACCACTCCAGTTTTGAAACTGGCCAGCCTGTTGGTTTTCATCGCCGCCAGTCCGTCATGGCCTCGGCCTCTCAAACGATCCTTGCAGTGGTCTTCCGGGCGCGCCGCCCAAAGGCTGCGGGTTTCACTTCATGATAGCGCCCGTTGCGCTTGTCTGTACTAACTCAAACAAACTCTCGGCAGAACGGGCTGGAAAACCAGGGGCGGGCAAGGTGATCGAAGAGTCTTTGTCTCTTCCCTTGCTTGGTCTTTCTTTCTTCTCGGGTGTGTCCTTAAAATACATGTGGAATGAAGATTTGGTGATTCATTATGCTTGGCCCGGCTGTGCTTTGGTCCTAGTAACGACGGCATTGCGCTTTGATGCGGAATAGGAGGACCATTTTCGGGTGCAACATACATACAAACACAAAGGTGTTTGGTAGAGCATTTGGCATTGTTGATCGCCAGGTAGCCGGTACCAGAGGTGTTATTCGTCCTGGAACTGGAACAACATATTCCGTCAAACCCGCGTCATCACCCGCCAGCAACCTACGATACTCACGCTTTCTCGTGATAGTGAGACTTGCAGCTGCTGCACGGGGTGCGAAACCCCCCTCCCCAACCTGTGCTTTACAACAGATGCAGTTTTTCACAATAGACCAACCCTGAAAGATCCCCGTCCGCAGGCGGTGAATTCGACGATGTCGCAATGCTACCGTACGTCCCGAACAAGCAGCCAGATCTGGTGCACCCATGCAGACCGATCTTTTCAACAAACCATGTCAACCAACAGAAACGACGTAGCTTGCCTGTACGCACGTCTGTCTCGCCAACCCAACCCATCCCGTCAGACACTGGTAGCAAGGCCGGGAAGCTCTCAACCCGAGATAGTCCTGTAGCTGCGTCTGCAAGTCTTGCTCGAGGATTTTCCAGCTTGTCGGCCGATACCCTGCCACCTCCAGTCACCACCTTGCCAGCCCTGCCGATACGCACTTGCCATGTCATGCCCTCGCCTGCACTCTCTGTTCGGAAAAAAAATCTGGTTGCCAACGCACAAGTAGCGGTCATGCCGCACTTCACAAACACACAGAAACCGAGGAGGAGACAAGACGGTCAAGCCGCCTCAGAGCCCTTGTCCATGCAGCTTACCAGATGCACAGTTGCGCCACACTCAACCTGGCGAAGCTGGAACCATCCCGGTTCAATCCCAGTTGTAGCTCAAATCCGTCATCTCATCTCCATAAGTGTGGCTAGGATCATCGCCGATGACCGCCGATTGCCATCTCCAACATGCGTGGCGTTCCGCAAATAGTCATTATTCCTCCGTCCATCAAGATCGGATGAACCACCCTGGGCATTGTCTTCAGCACAGCAAGTTGTGTAGCCCAGCAGCAGTCGTGCTTGTGTAGCGAAAACAACCAGAAAAATTCATGCCCTCCCAACTTGTTCCCCCCAGACCTCGACATGCAGCCCAAAGCAACCGGGATCTACCGCTCCCTATTCCACAGCATCGGGACCAACAGTCGCACGGTGACAAGTCGGCATCTTCAGACGCATCAGTCTATCCCCGGAAAGTCTTTTATCACTCTTTTTTTTTTTTGGGACCCGAGGTGGTCCACGTCACCAGTAGTATTGCGCCATGCCCGTCGTGCGGCAAAAGATGCACGTAATGCACACCCTCTGGCTACATTGTCGCCAACGTAGAGGAGCGACTGGGAGGCAAACCGGTCCGTCGGAGAGAATTGAAAATGACAAGACGCAAGGAACACCCATGTTCCCGGGTACACGGTGGCCTTGTCCAATCATTGTGGCTGCCTTTTTTGGTCCTGGCTAGCCCGGGATATGGTATGGTGCTCTCCCAACACTTGACTGGTTTGAGGGCAAAATCGATGTGGCCAACAAGCTTCCTTCCTCTCCGCTATCACTTTTACTACTTTATGGTGTTTCTTACCACAAAGAGGCTTGAGCGAGATATCAGACCCCGGGGGAGGACTCCGATATGGACAAGTCCCATTCATATTCATTCTCCCTGCATGGTGTCTGAGTGTAGTGGAGAAGAGGCGTGTATGTAAGTTTTAATACTACTCACTTCGTTCTCTCCCTGTCGGAACAGTCGGGATTTCCGCCCATCCGAACAGAAAAGGCCCAGGAATAAAGTCGAAAACAGGCACAAAATCCGATTCACGTCTTAGCGTTAGAAGAAGGTTGCGAAGCAAAATAGATCATGTTATTCTGTCTTGAGAGAAAATCCCCATACAGGAAAGGACACCTAGCAATAACCTTGGCCTCGGGGGCTCCTCTGGCGTACAACAAATGACCCTTACCAAAAAAGTATCCAATACCATAGCACACTAAATCGATATCATAGTGATCGAACCGCGAAACCAGTTCATATTCGTACAGAGAAAAGCAGCAATAGCTTGCCCATAAAAGCGTAAACAGATGGTGGTATAATGATGCAATGGTGACAAAATATCAAACGATAGGCAAATAAACGAAACGCATTTGAAACAGCCTCTCTGCATAGACAAAAGCACGTTAAAACTCCTCCAAACTAAGTCGTTTTAACATCACACGGGTATTCCAAGCCCAATATCCCATTGCTCCTGCAAATGTAAAATAGCCACGCAATTTTTGTTTTCTGCGAAAATGCAGACACACTTGCCATACCCAATGCTGATGGTGACTAAAATGTCAAAAAAAAAAAAAAATTGAAATTGATACAAAGCGCTGCCGACCCTGCTAAACTTTTGAAATATGGTGAAAATGAATTGTTTATAAGCCGCCCAGGGTATTCCTCCAGGAAGGTATTGCATTACATAATGCGTTATTATTAGCGGTTAAGGCTTAATTACCTAGTAATAAAGGTAATATATTTATTGTCAATGCATTACTGCTGCTTCCCTATGATTAGTATGAACCTGTTAATATAACCAAAAATATGGCTGTTATTAGCAGCTTAACATTTTATTTTTATTTTGCCCCTCATCTTTTTTTTTATATGTTACGGACGAAGGGGTTTAAGATGAGAGGTAAAATAAAAATAAAATGTCAGGCTACTAATGACAGCCATATTTTTGGTTATATTAATAGGTTCATACCAATCATAGGGAAGCAGCAGCAATGCATTGACAGCCCCGCGAAAGTTGTCGGTATCCATACGGTTTATCATGTCGTCGTGTATGTTATTCGTCCTATTAGTACAGGCGGTTGGCAAAGGCCATCTGTCGAGCGTGCTCGTCCTCATAGAGCATACCACTTGTCGCATGGTCTGCCTCAGTCTCAAACATGCCGAAGTTGCGAGGAACATACGCCGAAGCCGAGCTAGCCATGTGGGGTTGGGAAAACTGGCTTGCCATCATAGGAACTGTAGTAGCAGTCTGTTCAGAGTTGCCCTTGGGCTTCCTTACAGCAACAGTTCTGGCCTTGCCACGCCCTTTGATGCCCTTGTTGCTGTTCTTATAATGCTCCTTGAAGTAATCAAAAAGATTCTGGTGCTCCTCAGGGACCTCGCCCAATTGAGCGAACTTCACAAACATGCTTGTAAGGCTCTTCAAGGTCTCCTTGTGGAAGTTGTTCTGATGGGTCTTCATATTACCGAGCTGAGAAAATGACTTGTTGCAATCATCGAGCCTGCAAATGAAAGGCTTCAAACCTTTGTGCGTTTCTTCGTGGGATCGGACGTTTCCTCTCTGGGCGAACGTTTTACCGCAGATGCTGCAGGAATATGGCTTCTCACCGGTGTGACGACGCATGTGAGTCTTTTCACAGTTAGCCTATCAAAGTGCTTTCAGCCCATGAGTTTGATACACTCACCTTCAGATTTCCACGCTGAGAAAAGGTAAGTCCACAGTTGTCTTTGGTGCAGACGTAAGGCTTGAGGCCAGTGTGGGTTCGGCGGTGGATGTCGAGATGCGTCTTCTGCACGAATCGCTTGTTGCAACTTGGGCCGTCACAAACCCACTTCTTCTTGGGCCTGACTTCAGGGGCGGGTGTAGAGGCATGACAGGAGTTGGCTGGACTATGGACATCAATGGCCATCTCAGCTTTGGGTGTATGTGCGGGGGTCAAGGTCTGTCCCGGTGTATCATTGCGGTCGTCGTCTTTGGCCTGAATAGCCTTCATAAGTTCATCCACGTCAGTCTCGAAGTTGATACGATCAGCTGGGTTAATGGTCTCGTTGTATGTGATAGTCTTGGAGTTGGCAGTCGGATTGGAAGCAATCGAATGTGCCACGGAAACATTGGAGTCGCTCCGAGCCGGAGACTGCAAACGAGCATCACTAATCTGTCTCGATCTTCGTCGAGATGAAACCGTGCGCATAGCCTCGGAATCTGTGCCGATTGGCATGGGGTGGGAACGATCTTGAAACTCGGGCTTAAAAGGTGATCCGACAGGAGTTGACGGCGGAGGGCTCTGATATGTCGCATATGTAGCGAAGGGGTTCTGAGCCTGGTAATGAGTAGTCATAGATGTCATCGGCGCCGAGCTGTACGCAGGAGACACGACATATTGAGGTGGCATGGGCCTCTGCATCTGAGCTGGGTTTCCGCGGGAGTCGTAAGGCATGAAGGAAGGTGCTTCCATCATGGCAAAATCGTGAGGCAGCTGCTGCGGCCATCGCCCCCAGTTGTGCGGAGCAGCTGGTGAAGCTGTGAGAGCCATCGAACCAGTAGTCGGAAAGTCTCGTAGTGTAACAAGACTATTAGGACAGAAAAGAAAGTTGAGAACAGATGGTATATGCTTAGGCAGTAATGAGAAGAGCTTCCAACAACACTGGCAGAGAGTTCTGGCCTAATTGCGTATTTGAGAATAATACTTGGTGACAATGCTCTTCTGTGATGGTGAAACCTCAGCGGCAAGGGGAGGGCGGCAGGATATATAAGTTGAAAGAGCGATGAGGTTGAGAGAGGGGTCTGACAACTCCGCTGAGGAAAGGGGGTGTCGTATGAAGTTGAGGTCAAAGATGGCCATCTTGTTAAACGACGTTCAGATAGAGGACAACAAGCTAGGGGTGGGTCCGACTGGTCGGTACATGGCAAGATCTTGGCTTCAAAATGCCTGCATAGATGCGACCCCGAAAGCTGGTCCTCTCACAGCAGCTTGAAATCCTAGCCATCGGGGGACAGATGTGGCCCAGAAGGCGTATTACTTGCCGTACACGCCAGGCTGAGATGTTGAGCAACCCCCCTCTCTCCACATAGCGGGTAGGAGACGCTACCGGCCGGAGGGAGGGGCGTGTGAGTCAAGTCAAGCCCAAAGGGGTCTGAAGGAGCTGGGATAAACGCCTGTGTCGGATGCATGGTGACGATGGCCGGGGCGTGAGGTGGGAGTGTCGAGAAAGAGACGATGAGAGAACGGCGGGGATGTCATGTAAGATGAGCAAGCATGAGCTTTTTCGAGCACAGCTGGAAGACAAGGCTATGGACACGGGTGCGGGATGATATGGGGCCGGTTGCGCTTCGATTGTGTATGTACATACACTCCGTACTCCGTCTTGTACAGTAAATGAACAGGGGGGCAGGTTGACAGGGTGTCCGATGAACTCCGTGTTCCGATTTCCCCTCTGCTCATGAAGTCACTGGAGCGCTTGAACAATAAATGCGGCTCAGATACTGAGGGACCACACACCTTAGTATTACTTCCGACCTGTCACCTCAGGAGGCTCGGTACCGCTTCAAGACTCAACTCGGTGCGTTTACGGAGTTGCGCGAACACATACATGGTCAACCACGCACTATACTCGGATGGCTCAGTAATAGTTGCAGTCAGCTCGGCGCTTGCCCGCTCCGCCAACTCGTCCTTGGGCTTCGTCGGACCCGAACCGTTCTCGATCAGTGAGGAGCCATGGCGGCGGCCGCTGTTGCGCAACAGGGATAGGGCATTTGTAGAAGGTGGGTTTGTTGGCACAGCAGCTGTAAGATCACAGCCCTGGCGTCTTCTATCTGCGGAGTGCGGATGTATGCATACTGGCCAATACTCGGTACGCATATAATGTGCATATGCAAGCTTTTCGCGATTCAATGAGACATGAAGCAGCAAGCAAATTAGCCACTGGACCGTCAACACGAGTGGGCAAGCCAACGGGTACGTGTAAAAGCCCAAGTCTAGGCCTGCGGCTTTGACTGTGCAGCAAATTCACGTCAGCACGGTAGACAGGCGCCACGGGTACAACAATGCTGGACACGGCGCACAACCCGTAACACACGGGCGAGGCAACCTAGCCATGCAACGATCTAATCTCGCCAGAGATGGTGCTATGTTGGTTCTGGTTTGTCGTGGTCATTGTTGAATGAAGTCATGATTATTATACGGTGCACTTGTTGCGATATGATGGTGAACATGAGGGCTTTGGCGGCATGCGGCATGCAAGCGGCCCCGAACTGCAGGAGGACTGGTTAGCTGATGAAGCAAAATTTTTCGAGCCAATCCTCTGTACCAGATCGGACGAGTTGTTGGCGCCATACCTTGCACGCTTGTACCAAAAGGTGTGGCACGTTCATGACAGCAGCGTTGGTCGAATTAGAACTGGGCTGATTTTGGGCACAGACGTCCGAAGGCAGACCCGCCTGGCCCCCCTGGGCTCAGCTGTCTCCAATGATGCCAGTTTGGGCTGGCTGGAAATAGCAGTCTCTTGCGCAGGTCCTGAATAGCTTGTATGCGATTTGTGTGTCTTGAGTAAATCCAGTTGTGGCATTGGTACTGAGTGTGTCTAGCTCATCAATTCGGCCCAAGATGCGAGATGTAGTGGCGAGAGCCAAGGCCAGGCCATTGGCGGTGCTCGGCACTCCCACACTCCGCAGAGATGGGCCCAAGGCAGGTGCACGCAGATTATAGGCAGGTGCAGGCAGGTGCCAGCTTGCCTGCCCGCCTGCCTGCTCCTCTTTCATCTCATCGCATCGCATCGCATCGGGTCTCATCTGGAGGCCACCTCAACCTCCACTCTGTTTGGAAAGGGCGTCCCAAAGTTGACATGGCAGCCCGCCCGTACCTGCCCGTATCTGACCACCCAGTTCCGCGCTACCTGTACTTGGAGCAACCTGGCCGCTGTGTTCTGCTGGACTGGCTGCGACTGGGCAAGGACGGCCCTGGTCCCTCCTGCCCACCCGGCGGCATGCCGCCCGCCCTAAATTGTCTAGTGGCTGTTCGGCTAGGCTAGGGTTGGACCCGCGAGAGCGCTAGGCCAGGGACGCCGGCCCATCAAGCCAACAATTGATCAAGCCATCAAGCCATCAAGCAAACTTCCCCACCCTCGACTCTTGGCTCTTGATCAACTGAGCCCTCGAGATCCCACCACAACCACCTAACCACCGTGGCTCTTGTCTAGCGTTTTCCATGCGAAATTGTCCTGCATATGTTGTGTCGCGCTTTCAGTGCTCCCGCCAGTGAATTGTTGGCGAGATGGGCAGCCGCCCTGTCTCCCTTTTACTCTACAAAATCCACGTCCCCGGCGCTCAACAGGCCAAAGTTCCTTGCTAACCATCACCAGGTTTAGGGCGCTGCCTGCGCGTTCCCATACATGCACCGACTACGAAGTATCAATTAATTGTTGTACAGGGTACGGAGTTGCCAGCGTTCGGATCAAGAGCCATTCGGGCAGCCACAATGGAAGGAAGGTTGCCTCTTGACACCAAGACTGGCTTTCCGGCTACAATCGATACAACCACTCGTGTCTTCATATGCGAGTCTCAACTGCTCTTGGTGTTTGTCCCGCTTACACTTCGACTTTGTAGTAAAATCTCGTCACTGATACCCTGCTTTTTCTGCATGGAAATCACGCCAAAACACTGGATATGCGGCCGCACATTCTACGGCGCATCTCGACGATGAAGCCCATTTCGTGACATGGACAGGATTTCTTGTGTATTTGGGAGCACATCTTTAAAGCTCTAAATAAGTCGCTTCTTGGGTTAAGACCCAAGAGGACATACTACACGAGGAATTGCGTCAATTCTGCTAATCCATGTCTTCTCTATTTACCTGGCCCAAACAGGCAGGGCTCATGTCTCGGTGTTAAGGGCTTGCTTCTAACCTTGATGATCGCCCGGGGTATAAGCATTCATTTGAGGGCAAATCGAAACTGGTTCATCTCGGAGATTTATGCCCACATCATTTGCCCGTCTTTTCGTTCGCTAGATTCAAGCCCGGATTTCATAAGAGGAAATGCCTCCAGCGACAACGCGGATTTCTGGCACAATTTACAAGGCACATTGGAGCTATGGCCATAATTTAACAGTTGAAAAGCACTAGCTGCTAACGAAAAAAGTGGTCAATCTTCCAGTATGGTCGGCGGCCTTGTACCAAATTGGCCCTGCAGAGCGGCTGCCCATAATCTCGGTCGTTAGATCTCCCGACTAGTACCATCAGTTCCAGGCAAATCGCCCATGCGGAGACTTCATCACCCATGAGACGGAAAGACATGCGGCTAGCAGGGGGGAAATCCCCCGAAACCTGTTCCTGCTTCTTCCAGCCTAGAGCTCTTCTCTCAATCAAGCTCAGGTGAGATCTTTACCCGCCATGAAACACAAGCCCAGCACCCAGCAGAGTTGCAAGCCACCTTCGCGGCTCCACCTACCCGCCAATGAAAATACTGACCTGTGATCATGTGTTGCCTATAATCTTGGGTCAGACGAATCATCACAAGCAATGCCACAGGATAATCTGAAGAAACGTTCAACCAGCGAAATAGGCAAATGCGGGGTAGGGCTTCGCGGAAGATATGGGGTGCCTCCACCAAAGCCGGATTTCAATACCTGTCCAACTTCACAATTCCAAGCATGAATACGAAACTTGGACCGGTCTTTGGGTGCTGGGAGCATGCCAATGGCAGCAATTCGTGCCCATGGCATATTGCATTTGATGGGATGCGTACATACGGAGTAGGGAGAGAAAGCCTCAAGATGGTGGCGTCAGGGGTCTGCCTGTCACGAAGTGGCAGGTGTCAGACAGATTGAAGGAACCGGGATCATGGATCTCGGATCACTCAATGAGATGCAACTGCTGGCAGAATCAGTCCATGGCGTCTCAGCTTGGCGCACTGCACCCTGTACACCACCGCTAGTACAAGCTCGCAGCTTGGTCAGGCTATGACTGCACAGTCCTTTGGCATTCCCGATTATGAGATCTGACGGTACTCAGCTGGACCAGGACTGCATCTGTTTGACTTCAGAACCTTTCGACTATCATCGCTGCTTCATGATCGTCATGTAGGGACCTTCTTCGGCCTGTCACAGGAACTTATAGCGCTCCCCGTAAAGCTTTTATTAGTTGACGGGAAATATCCCTAACGGAGGAAGCACGATTTCAGACCTTCCGCCCAATGGCAAATCACACCCGAGCCCGCTGTCACTCATTCATCGTCCAGATTAGCATCAGCCACCTGACAGTTTGGGTGTCTGTGACCCATTAGCGTGGGAATGTCTAAATTGCCAAGTCCGGTCAATCTTGTAGATAGCTATCAAAAGAGCATCCAGACGCATAACGAGGATCGCCTTGGTGTTCTTAATGGGCAAGGCATTGCCAATACACAGGAACCTTGAATCCCATTTCTCCCTCTCTTTCCCGCGTGAGTAATCATTTCAAGCGCAGATACTGCCGATAGCAACAAATCTACGACCATTCTCTCCATTCTTCAATGGAGCCGAAAAGAAACTGCGCTAATAGCCCTACATTACCCCGTACAACAAGGGCAACGGACAGTTGCATTGGCGGATGCAAACGGGAGCGTGGCCCATGTTACCCTCACATCCACAACCACCGACTTTACGGCCATATACCTCGGTCTAGTCTCCCCCGAGCAAATGGCCAGTGGAGGTAATCCATGAGAGGCCAAAATGTTGTATTACAAGCACCACTTCCGGTCGTTACGCTCCTTTTTCTGCCTTCATTCAGCAATCAATGCTAACGTACCTAGTATGCTACATAAGTAGACGGGGTTGGCTCGATGGTCGCCAGTCATGTTTGGCGGTTTTGCC